ACAACACTGCAGACAATTTACTTAACACAGGCCTGCACTGCTGTGCTGTGAAATACCAACCCCACACAAGGAGTTCTGAAGTACAGATTCAGAAGCAGTTTGTAACCTGTGTACTTCAAGGATATCAGTTTAATCGATCGCTGGGTAGCAGCAACAAGGATTTTTGCTTTAAATACCTCAGGTTAAGTTCAGACCCATGCAGAAAAACATTTGGACGAACACAAAAATGAGGAGGATAAAGACAGTCTATGTGCAGAAGAAACCTGACACAAGCACATACTATGCTCAGTATGATGGTACTGAAGTACACAACAAACTTAAGAGAATCAACTCTTCATTCTGTTCTAGGCCACAGAAAATTAGTTAAGCCTTAGATTTAAGTGTCTTAAAAATGCCTTGAGACATGCTTTCAATGAGAAACAGCTTTCAGATGCAGAAATTATTATCCCTAGTAACATATCTATTTAACAAGACCTAAAACATGTAACCACAACCATGAATCTAACAAACCTAAAACCACATCACTTGACACTTTTTTAAAAGATTATATTAGAAGTTAAAGCTAGTCTGCAGCTGCAATAATTTACAGATAAGGTCTGTCTTTTCTATCAGATGTTGTTTTTTTTCTCCTAGAAGGTTCAATACATTTTCTATCAGGACAGAGTCAGATTTATTATTCACAGTGGATAAGTTGCACACATATAACCAAGTTTTCCAATAGCACTTTGATAAACCCTGAAGTTCTCTGAAATACCTAAACTACCTTCTTTTAAGGGAAGCAGATTTACAACTTGCAGTAACAGAATTGCTAGTCTTACCACCATTCCTCTTGAAAAAATAAATTTCGTTAGTTTAGGACATATAAGAAACAGAAAGCTTTCAGTTCTGTATTAGATACATTTGCAAACAATCAAAGAAAAAAAAATACCACAAACAGAAGAAAGAGAGCATTTACTGCCTAGAAGCAAACCAAAAGCAGAATGTGTCACAGCACAGCAGAAGTGATTAGAAATAGCAAAGCAAGTACCCTCTTGCAGCAGCAGCTGCTTGCTAGATTACGACAGTAAACAGTCCAACGGAAACAGCCATAGAATACCAAAAAAATAGCGATACAGAGAAGCCTTTTATTTCCCTGAGATACCACTAAGGCATTAGCACAGCCATGTGAATCTGATGCCCACTATGACTTGCACGATAGTTGAAAAGTCTTCATCTACAGGGCTACTACCTATACTGACCGAACAAGTCCCTGTCCATGTTGAAGAGCAGATCTTCTGTTACGGCATTTGCCAAATTTCCTCTCTCACTTCAACAGAAATACGGCAATCCCCACTGACAGATGTCTTGGCCATTAAGCTCCAGCCATTCCAATCCAACTCCTCCATTCCCAACCATAATGCAACTACAGGTTTCTGCAGCAACTTAAGCCCACTCGTGGCGCTTGCTAGAGCTTGAATTCTGCACAATGGACCCACTAGTAAGCTAACCCTGGAAAGCTGAAGAAAGAGCATGAGATTGCTTTGCCCCAGTCCAAACAGGCCATTTGCAAAGACATTCCAGATCTGCAAATTGCTTAGCTACCTCCAAGGTCTGCCTGAATCCGTCTGTATAGACATGCCACAATATCTTTTAATTTCCTAGGCTGTATACATAAACCACCACAGAATTTTAAGAGTATGACTTCAATAATTCCTCTTTGACAATCTGGGCTACAACACCCAGCATTCAGCCTAGAAGCATAATGACAACTGCTAACTCTAGGATAGGCAATACTGCTTGAGAATTAGATATATAAAGCCACTACTAAACACTTAAGAGTTGCTGCAGCATGTGAAAAGGAAGTGTTCTTCTCTCTGACATTATTCCCTAAATTGAAATATAAACCATTTTAAATAGAAAACATTTCTATTTCTCAAATAGATATAAAATTCAGTAACACAGAACCCATGAATAATGTTCACATATATGTGAAAATGATAGCTTTCTGGATAAAAAACATTTGTCATTCCCTTCACAACTACCTTAACCTTTTTTTAACCTAATAGGAAAATATATTTGAATAGGAATGAGGATATAAATTATAGTTAGCATACAAACATTTCCCAAAGGTATGAACTAATACTCTTAGGGAAAAAAAAAGTACTTACACAGCATTGTGCTCATCACGAGAAATAATTCCTTTAGTGCATTTTTCTAAAAAAAGGTGTGAGAACAAAATCAAAGTCAACCAAGTAACAAATTACTACTCCTTAGATGATAGATTGGTGGATAGTTGATTTCAATTTGCAATTTCTTATTACCCTAAAAGCACATACTTATATATTTACACAACATCAGCAGAACTGATGGCTGGAGAACCAACCTAGCACTGATGATTACAGAAACTAAATGCCCCTGAAGTCAGTGCAGGATTAAATCATCTTCTTAAAAAGTTTACACTGTGTTTACAATCTGGGTTCATGCACTCTTCACTGAGAATGCTATGTAAAGCATCCTGTTATCCTCCCTCCTCATTCCCACTCCCCAATCAATCCCATCAATGACACTGCTACAAGCTGTTCATTTTGTTGTGGAATAAATTGCTATGGATTAACAATAATTCTGTAAAAGAGAACTGGGTTGGATTTTTTTTCCTTTTAATCAGAATTATTTCCCTAATTTGCATTGCCACAAGTGAGGCAGTTGAGTGGGCCAGAACAAGGAACGAGGGGAGAAACAGCATGGCAGGGGCTAAACTTGCACTCTCTGCTCATGAAACTATGGTTTTAGTGAATGTATATGACTTAGTCAAACCTTGAAACAGATTTCTCAGATTAGATATTTTCTACACTGAGGGACTAGATATTTTCTGTAACGCCCTTTGCAAATGCAGTTTATTTGGTTTTAATTTGCATAAATTACTACTTAGAAAAGACCAAATCCTCAGTAGGAATATAACTAATTGTAATTAGCTTTTTGTCTGGCATTTCTGGAATTAGTGATTTACAGCAAGTGAGAATCTTTTCTGAGAAGACAGGCTGTGCTGACACTAAATGACACAAAAGACCATTATCAAACGATCCCAGAGCTTATATTAGTAAAGAGGAAGATGGCTGCTTTCTTGAATTCTTTACACATTTAATTGAGCTGTGTTTTCATTCAAACAAAATTATTACAGGATATGTCCAGGGAAAATCTGCAGATCACTCTTTAATTTTGGTATTATAAGAAATTCATTAACAAATTAAGGTATTGCAGACTGGATGAAAACTGGAACAGATGGCCAGTCTGCAGGACCACAGGAAAGTATGAGACACTTAAAGAGCTCACTTTTAAAACCCATTTTGAAAAGAAACCCATCTGCAGAACAACTAATAAGCCAGCAAGAATTTCTTTTCATGATAAAGTGTTTTTAACTGTATGTCCTTGCCTAGTTTTCTTTTGTGGATGGATTTCTGTAAAAGTCAGACTGACCATAATAGAACAGCCATAACAAAGCCAGACTGGCTGTTCTGGGCAGGTGATAGTAAATACAGCGGTACTGTGAGTCATCCTCCCCGGGAGTGATGCGTGAAGCTCAAGACAGTTATTTCTCTGTCATTATTCTGGTGAAGAGGCACACATCGCTAACCTGTAGATGCAGGAAAAGGGCAGTGAACAGGGGAACACTATTCACAGAATTTTTACTATCATGAAAACTAGGGAATACATTTGAGCTTCATTGTTGCCTGTTAAAAACATTAGCATTTTCCCTGTAATATGACAATACTTGACCTGAGATCACTGAGAGAAAACACAGATCCAGAGCGTCATTATGATATTTCTACTGTCCCTTTCCACAATACAGGCATACCTTACCTAAGTTTTAAAAAGTGATCATGCAACAGGCAGGAACCAGGACTGCATATACTGGGACAAAAATCCAAATTTTTAAAAACCACAGTGGTATTTTAAATTATAAAGAAAAGTTGAGTTACTTATGATTTAACAAAAATCACACTACTAGCTTTCTTGGGCCACAGATCAATGATCAAGTAAATACGCAGCTCACTAGGTAAGACCTAATTCAGAGTAAAACAATTAAAATTGATAACCTGAAAATCTCAGGACCATATTCATTAGCAAAGAAACACTAGCAATGTCCCTACTGTGAATTACCAGAGGACCGGCTTGCACCCCAAGCCTATCAGTTCTAGGGCTGACACAGTTAAAACACCTGAACTTTTCCAAAAATAGGCTTCTCAACCTTTTTTCAAACTGTGGAATGGCTCAGCTATTTCTAAATACCACTGAATCAAATCCAGTGAAACTTCTTAAAAGGCATTGTGACAGTAACCTTCACCATCATTTCTTGAGTATGTTTTGCTTTTCTTTTTTCCCCTTAACAAGGCTTGATCTCACTGTCTGTCTGAACGTTAATCCGCCTTCACCAGGTACTAAACTAATGCCTGCTGCATTAATACACTGCAAATCCCCAAGGTATAAGTTACACACAATTTAGTATAAAAGGTGAGCATAGGGCTTTCTTTTCACTACAGCTACTACCAGGAAGGCAAGCAGAATACAGGTAAGTTTTCATCAGATCCTGATGGAGAAATCATTTTCCAAATTGCAAATGTTGTATGTAATCAATTGCTTCTGAAAAGTAGATTATCCTTTGCTCTTTCTCTCCCTTGCTGCTTTTTCTTTCTCCTTAAAAACAGGACACATGTACAGAAACTTAGATAAAAATGTTTCATCGAAAGTGGTATTGGTACTCTGCTATCATTATTCTGCAAAGATTGCTGCCATGCCATTTCAGTCTCTTAGGAAAATCAAACTCCTTTAACACTAAACATACAGACAGATCTATTTAATGGCTTTATCCTGTGTTCTCACTGATGTTTCTGAAAGCTTGCTATTATAGAACCACTTGAGGATAATGTGAAGACTCAATTTCTCCCTGTTTTCAGAAATATTCCCTGTTGAAAATAACTACATGTTTCTCCAGTATAGATAGGTTTTTTTGCTTTATACACAGGATGAAGACAGTCAACTGTTATGTGCTGTTATTTTGCTGGAAAGCAATTTGTTGCAATAGCTGCCAGCTCACCAATATTACTATAGCAGTGGAAAGAGAAGAATGTGAATTCTGTATTACAGTGAATGCCACGTGGTGCTCGGGATACTGCTTCACAAGGGTGAGAATCTTAATTTCAGGCACCAGGATTAAATATTCCAAGTGATGTATAAATAACCCATTTCTCCATTCCATAACAAACAGACAGGATGAGCTTTGTGAAATAACAGGCTGAATAACTGCTGTCCTATTTGACAAGTAGATACAGCCAATGTGAACCACAAAGGGAAGGGCGAAGGATGCTAATAAAATTCAGATCTTTAACTGGCTGCACACATTATGTTTATATTGTATAACTGGAGATGAAAGAATTACAATCTGGATCTCTGACTTGTGTTCAATTTGTGCTTGCAAACTGATGCAATAAAGCAGCCATTACTATGTAGATTCCTCTACTTTTCCAAATAATTTGAAGACTCAAGCAACTGACCTACAAGATAGTCTGGTGATGGTATGACACAAATTTGCTATATTGGTCCTCCTGGAAAGAGAAATCTTAGTACATAGGTGAAATCAGAAGAGCCTGATCCAAATCCTTTTGATCTCAGTGGGATTTTCCCCACCAGTTTAATTAGTTTTCACATCAGATCCTTTATTTTATAAAAAATTTGAATTCTACCCCATAACAAATTTCCAAATAAGTATTTTCTTTTTTTATTTTTCAGGACCCAGTATATAAATACCCACCGGTATCATCTGTTCAGCAAACATGTACCTTCAAGGAGGTTGTGTATGAAACAGTGAAGATCCCTGGCTGTGGTGACCATCCCGAATCTTTTTATTCGTACCCAGTAGCTACAGAGTGCCATTGTGAGACCTGCGACACTGACAGCACTGACTGCACTGTGAGAGGGCTAGGGCCATCCTACTGTTCCTTCAGTCAAAATGGAAGTAACCAATGAAGGGTACTTGAGATGGCAGTTTGGCTTTAAATGTTCCCTTCTAAATGGAGGTACTAGTTGGGCTTAAGTGAAAGATAATAGGCAAGGCTATTTAGAAAATGCCAAGATTAAAACAAAGGTTTTTAAGGCCAAAATGGAGAGCTAAAACTAAACTCTTCAGGCCTTCCCTACTTTTCCCATCAGTTTCTTTAAAATAATTTCCATCAATCTATGTAATGCTGCTTCCAATTCCTTCTGTTCTTGCCTCCTCTTCCTCTCTATTACACCTTCATTCTTTATATTCCTGTATTTTCACTGCCTAGTTCACTTACTGTGCTACCTTATGCTTTCAAAATTTCTGAAGTTCCAAGTCTTTACTATCCCCTGTTTTCCATCTCTTCTCTGAATGCACTGATTTTAAAATGCCTTGCAGCAGTGGCTTCTTACAACCAGCATCTGTGCCCTCCCTTCCTATTAGTTGAACCCCTCTGCTGATATCCTGACTTTTTTGGCAAAATATTTCATATAGTCATTATGCTCTGTAAATAGTAACAGTATGTTCATTTAAGAGCCAAAATCTATGCTCAAATGTTGAGCGTCACCTGAACTCTTGTGCTATCTTGGTAAGGCATCTTAGTGCAGACTCAGTGCCACAGTAACACAAATAACATGAACTCTAGTTCATACCTGGCTAACTTGAAAAAAGAATCATCAGTTGTCTACTTTCACCTGAGTAAACATATCCCAAGTCAGATAAACAATTCTGAAAATTTTGCCACAATGGATTTCTTCTCATTATGCAACAGCAAGTAATGAAGGGTTTTTTAACACTATATAATGTAGGAGTCTCACAAATTATTTAGGGATTAATCTAGAGGCATCTGATCCCAGTAATGCAAACATGGTATGATAACCTGACTTGAAAGTAGTTCACAGCAGTCGCTTCTGAGAATGGAAGTTCATAGAGTTCTGCAGCAACCTAATTCTGCAACGGCCAGTATGAAGTTTGGACGGTCTGGAGGCAAGCTGGAGGACTGACTGAATCAGAATGCAAAATTATCTCATGTTATTGGGAAAACAACCTGAAACCTACAGAATGAAATCCCATCAGGAAAACAGAAAGATACTGCCCTTCATCAGAAACACTGACCTACACAAACACAGAATGGAGAGCAACTGTTTCAGCAGTAGTTCGGCACCAAAGACCTGGAGGTTACACAAGCTAAGTGTGAGTCAACAGTATCACACTGCTGCGGAAAAGCGGGAACATAAGGAGTAGAGCCTACAAGACACAACCTACTTTGACCGCTCAGTTCAACACAAGGGCCTCAGCTGAGCTGTTATTTCCAGCTTTGGACACAGAACTTCCAGGCATTAAAAAACTGGAGAAAATTCACAGGAAAGCAATAAGCATGGAGAGATGCCTAATCAGTATCTTAGGAGAAAAGGATTTAAATACATGTAGTGGTTGTGCTTATGGGAGGTACCACTCGGGGGGAAATCAGTGGAACCTTTTACATGCTTGAAGACTGTTACAAAGAGAAAAGGAACAGTCAGTTCTCCGTGTTCATAGCAAACTGAACAACTAATGAAAGATTCAGAGTAGTCGCTAGCAAATCTTCTGAAAGGTACAGACAACTAGGCACTGAAATAAAGTGTCAGGGGGTTGGGGGGGGAGGAAGGGAATGGGGTCTGTGGAGTAGTGACCACTATAGGTCTTCATGAACCTGTTAGGAATCACAGAGATAAAGTTAATTTGCCAGAAAAGAGAAAATGAAGAAGATGATCTCTTGAGGCCACTTGGCATGTCTGCTTTTGAGACACTTACAGACACGTTTATTTAAAGGGAATTTGTCTGTTACTCTGGATCTCTCTTATAATAGATAAGAAATATTTTTAACTTATTTCATTTTTAGCTTTTTAACTGAAATATATTAGTTCTCTTAATTTTATTTACAAGATGAATCCACATGGACATTTTCTTTGGTCTAGTGAGGTTTAGAAGTGGTAAAGTAATAGGTCAATCAAATTGCCTCTCACTCATTTCAGTTTTAAACATGAGTTGTCTTCAGTTAAAATTAAGCATATTATTCATTTCAATAATTAATCCATACTGGATGAGAGAATTTTGAATTAAAATTACAAAATAGAGTAGCTTGTAATAAAAGCATATGAGAAAAGATAAGTTTTCAAAATAGATCTGTAAACATCTGTATTGTCTGTTGTGCATTTTGAAATAATAAAAATAATTTTATTGCACTTGAGTTATGTATGTCTTAATAAATAAGCCAGTTAAAAAACTTAAGAGTTCACCAGCCCACTTTACTACACTTTAAATCACAGGTTTTCTTCCCCCTTCATAATTTTTTTCATGTAACTAATATGCCCACCTGAGCCATATTTGCATTATATGGCCAAATCACATCAAATGAGAGACTGGTATATTTTAGCCTGATCCAGTAATGTGATGATGAAATATTACATAGTTGTAACACAACAGAAATGTGGACGAGAACAAAGATCATCATGAATATATTATTTAGACTACAGAGATTAGAACCTCTCCACAGCTATGTCCACATCTCCGTCACAAATTAGCTTGCATGTGAAAACAAAAATCATACAACTCTCATTTTATCCATCAAACGCAACCACTCATTTTCATTTTGCAGATGAATCTGTTCAGAACCTCAAAATTAAAACTGCAACTAATGCAGGCAAAAGAGTATTGAGCTTAGTATCAGAATGCTAGCACAAAAATCCTAATCATGCATCACTGCAAGCTTCCAGACTCTCACTTTGTATCTTTCACACATCTTAGGTACCAATGCTGAGGTAAATACCAAGTCCTAGAGACTCAAAGGAAAAGGTGCTCTCCACATAAGCACTGACCTCTGCCAAGCAAATTATATCCTTCAGGAATACATCTTTCACTTTCTCCAATCCTTGTGCAGTACCTAGACATAAGTTCTACCCAAATCTCTTCCATAAAGCTGGCTTTTCAAAAACTAGGTATATCATGCAATAAGTGTCTCTGTTTTTCAAAAGACCTATGGGAAACAGCAAACAAATGACTTATTGAATTTATCTTCTTCTAATCATAAGTGATCACAAAAAAGTCTCGGGAAACATGTAGTTCCCATATGAAGCCTTGCTGTTCAAGACATGAAGTCTACTAATGGCTGCTAGTATCAGCAGACTTTGAATGCATGCGTCCATTTATATGAAACTAGTGCTGGTGTTCTACTCTGAAGTAAAAGCCGTTCCAAATGGTGTCAGCAATTATTTGTTGTTCTACCGACTGATTGCAAATATTTCACTGTCAGTAGTTTCACTGACAGAAACCCAGATAGTCTTACAGAAGGCTGCCCTGACTTGAAGATACTCAGACTACCTTTGTCAGTTTGTAAGACAGACTTTGACTTTATCTTCTCAAAGTTCACTTTCCATTCAAGGCCCAACAATCATTTCATTAAACTTGCTTTTATATCAACTTTTTCCAAAATATTAGTGAAGGTACATCCAAGCCATGTAAATCAGTGTAGTCTGAGATCCAAATCTATTTTGAACTATTATTTAAGAAAAATATTTAAGTAGTAATTTGTATGCTATTTGCCTAGCTCTGTCATGATTAATAAAATGGCAGCTCTGCCAAAAGGTAAAAGTCTCAGTATGACATGCTACTCTAAATGCTGAATTGGTGGGTAAGCTTTTAGAAACATTCCTAACAGAGTCAGAGTTTCAAAAATTTCTACCATGGGCCTAATCCTTTCCATTGAAATCAATAGGTAAATTGCTTTTCAACTTCAATAGAACTATTCTGCCAAAGTGAACTTTTTAAAAACTACATATTAATTCAATTTTTAAAGGCAGGGTCTGCAAAAAGAACTTACAGTATGTCAGACTTTATCCATAAGCCTACAGAAGATAACTTTAGAGGTAGTAAAAACTAAAATAGACTGATCTATTTATTTACTACCAGTTAAGTAAAATTATCTCTTTTCTTGCATCACTCTGAAATCAGGAAACCTGGAAAACTATTTATAACCCCCTGGTGAAGGCATACAGCATAGTGGCAATACCTAGTGC